TCTCATCCAAGACGCAGCGCTTCCAATCGTCGCTCCATGACAAGACCCCTGACTCGACCACGTGAAGACTCTAGCAGTAGTAGCGCCACCATCATCACCACCTCAACCGAGTCCTCCTCAAGCATTCCGTCTGTAGCACTAGAACAGCAAGTCAGCCTCTCCCCTGTTGTCGAATCTCCCCAGTCAGTCCGAGCTCGTCAGCAGCAGCCTCAGATCCCCCCACGAGACCCTCGACGTGCCAGCCAGATGGGCAACTCTGGTGTCAGCGCCAACCCGCGAGCTGCCCCTCCTACACGACAGGTAGTTTACAGCCCTCCTGGGCAGCCAAGCCCGACCTTGGGTCTGATGCAGCCTCCCAGCGCATACTACGCGGCACTACAGTCGAAAGCTCAGCTGAATGCGCAACCACAACAAAAACCTCAATCAGCTGTTCAGAGCATGCAGCCCGTCGACAATACAGGTACACGGGCAGCCTCATCGACAATGCGCATTGTGGAGCCCTCTCCAGAGCCAGATGAGACCACAGAGACCGCGAATGTCAAAGAAGATCAGATCCGGGCGTCCCCCTTTTACTTTGACCCACCATATCCTCAACCTCTTCAGTCTCGCCAAACCTCTCAGCATCGCCGTTCTGCATCAGGGCCTCAGCCTCAGCAGTACCAACCATATCAGAGGCCTCCCTCGTTTCAACCTTCCCCTCGTCAACAACAGGCAGCCTGGCAGCCTGTCCAGAGACTGCATTCACGCAATCGCCAGCAACAACGTCACAACCAGCAGCAGCAGCAGCAGCAAAACCCTTGGCAGCCTACACAACGTATGCCCCCAACATATCCGTCATTCCAGCAACAGCAACAACAGCCTCTGCAGTCCTATCAGCGCACATTTCCGCATCAGCAGCCCTACCAACAATCACAGATGTACCCTTCTTTCCAGCCTCGGTCAAGCCAGCAATATTACCCTCGTGACACAGGAGGTTACCAGTCATTTCAGCCCTATCCTGCCGGACAGCAGGCTCAAATACACCCCTCTCAATACCAGAGTTACCGCCCCTCGCAATCAATGAAGCCTTCACTTATTCACTCTGATAGCCAGGATTCACTCCTGGCTAAGCGTGTCGGTATGGATCGCGCCGCTGGTATGACTATCGGTACAGACAAAACTGGCGCTCCAAAGTGGAATCGTGATATTCAAAACAAGACACCACCAAACCTTGCTATGTCGCCGCATTGGCAGCCGACATTGACCCCTACACGGCGAGGAGATGACCTGGTCTTGAACGTACAATAAAATGGAGATATAGATTTCGGTGACACATGCACCATCGTTCTTTTGTTTCGTGAATTAGATCACATATCAATTTTGTATAATAGCCAAGCACTTGGAAGCTATAATGAGCATTAGCAGCAGTCAATCATAGATGGAAGGAAAATGCCTTAGGACCGCACACGAATTTATTTAGGTGTAATTATTGGATGCACCTATACTACACCACCTAGACATTCATTCTAATCCTATAGGTCACTCTTTCCCAACAATGCTCTTCGTGTCCTTCAAGTGTGGTCTTTTTGCGAAGTGCTAGGTCCAGCTTGGACTTCGTCCTTGTTCTCCTCCTTGATTGTTTGACCCATAACACATTCCCTCTCGACATACTGTCGAGGTTGCTGGGATGACTCGCTCGGCGTACCCACGGGATCAAGCATGTCCAGTTCCAAGTCATGAAATGTCTGTTCACTGCTTTGGTTGCTGCGACGGAGACGGCTTCCATGCTTTCTTAAGCTCCCTCGTCTGAAGAATCCAGATGCATTCTGTCGCATGTTATCAATATGGTTTTCGAGCGCCACATCTAGAGCATCTAGACCTTGGTCCAACGTATCACGATTGAGATGGACACCCGCATCAATGAGCTTATTTCTCCGTCGAATATCTTGCCACCTTGTCAGGTTACCCATTTCCAATACGTTCATTCGGCGGTTTTTGCCCATCGGGTTTCCTATCATTGTGGGTCGCCAGGCATAGTCCTCTTCCATCAATGCACGCAAGTCATTGGGCATGGAAACTCGGCGTTTCGAAGACCGTCGACGGGCTTGTGTAATTTTCTCCATCTCTTCTGATTTTGAACGAGGTATGATGAGCACATTCTTGAATCGAATGAGAACAAGCAACAAGAGGACAGTCAACAAGAAGAGTATCGCAGCTACGACGCTCGTGGCAACTTGTTGGCCAAGCTTCCGCGTTACATGACCGCCCAGCGCAGTTGAACCAGCCGCAAGTATGTATGAGAAGGATTGTATCATAGCGAATCCTGCTGTCACTCTCGGAAAAGAGGAGTAGTTGGTTCGACGCTGGTCTTGACCTGTGGGATCGCGATGGCGACCAACCATTCCGGGAGACAGATCCGATGTATCGAAGGTTTCCATGATGAGACCGTTGCATTCTGAAATTGCGAGGCAGGATAGAAAACCTATACACAAGGCAAAAAAGGTTGGCACGCCAGAACTGATTGGTGGTCCTGACGAAACAGCGGCATAGCAGGCGCCGCCAATCGGAAGGGCAATAGTAAAGACGGCCCGGCGGACTAGATGTGAAGACCATACTATCTTTTTGCCAAGAACCTCGCGATTGACTTTGTTTTCTCGGTTGCGAGATCTCGAGAAGATGCTGGCTTTTTGGAAAGGGATTGCAAGTAGAGCGCCGAGTGCGACGGCGGCGACATGAAGGCCGACATATGGCGATCTAAGATGATAGAATCGAGATACGAGTGAGCCCAGCAGAATGATGACAAGAACGACTTGTGCGTAAATCCAAGCGACATATATCGCTACAACCGCGAAGCCAGGTTGTTCAAGCATCTCTAAAGATAAACGAACACCATGGTATGCTTCCTGTCCCCACCACTTTGGACCCGTCTTGACTCGATGCATCATCACTTCTCCTCGAGCCAGACGACGCGAGATGTTTCCTCCTGTTCGGACTTCTGCAATCGACCGTCGGAATGCAGATCGTCGGACCTCGGGACATATCACATTGAGAATCAAGACAACTGCAATCATCATGATGCTGACGTAAAAACCCCATGCTGGCGGATGTTTATCAATGATAGCTGCGCCAATGAGAAAACCAAGTCCAAGAGATCTAATCCAGCACCAGGTCCAGATACCAAGCCAAATGCCCATGCCACCACCATGTCTTCTTGCGTCGAAATGATCGACAACCTCTTCATGGGGATGTTGACACATTAGGGAAGCGCCAAAAAGGTCCGTCAGAACCGAGTGAAAGTTCATAGTTGCAAAGCCCAAGAAGCCACCCATTAGTGTACGAGAGGCCAACAGAATTGCCCTCCAAGACGCAGTGTTGGTAAGCCTGGGACTGCTGACTGCAATAGCCTGTGGAAAAAGAAGAGGCATCGCAATAATGAGACTTGACATTATATATGGTTTCCGACCGTGGAGTAAGGGCAATGGCCAGAGAAAGAAGGACGGAATAGCAAGGGCAAGGAAACAACCAGTATTGCCGTGTACCGTGATATGTGATTGATCCACGATATAATACTGGATTGATGGGACTAGGCCTGTATAGATACCAAGTAGCACCCCAATGAGCGCTGTGCTCAAGCAGGCAGTAGAGGCTACAAATCGCTTGCGGACGGGTGACTAGTCCCTCGCAATCGGTTGCCTGATGTGCGACTTTGGAAGGTTGAAACCTTGCATGTCCCGTAGACTCACGTGCGATCGCTTTCGAAGATTGATGCCATGTTCGCCCTGCAGTCTTCTCCCAGCAATGTTATGTTCTGGCAGAGCGTCATGGCTGGTCCCACTTCGAACGGCTGATGAAACGTTCACAGCTGCCGAGCTTTTATGAGCTGTCGTTTTTCCTTTGGCGTCTATTCCTCCAATATCAAGAAGGGCACTTGTGCTACGGAGATCTTTTAGTATAACTGGCCTTTGTCTACGATTCGTCTTGGACCCTTTGTTAGATCTCCGGGCCTTTCTGCTGAGTGAAGAACGTCGTGAAGTGCTACTTTGTTGTCTTCGTCCGGCATCATTCCTTGTTCGAAGCTCCTGATAGGTTCCGGAATAGCTCTCAACTACATCGGCCAGCCGCGGGCGTTTGGGTACGGCAGTGTAAGTGGCAGCACGCCTGCAGCCCGGCCTCGCTGGGTAGGCCATATCTACTACATCTGTAGGAAATACTTCCACGTTTTCTTGGGGCCTGTTGCACATCGACAAGTTTGATTCGCCCACATGATCGGTGCCATGCTCATTCGACACGCCAGGGTGGGTAGCATGAACTGCGGCTTCCGAATGGTCCGCGACCTCCAGGGCCAGGGAGAGAGCTTCATCGAGAAGCCTCTCGAGATCGCTGAATGCACGCTTGAAAAGTACCCCGTCAACTCCAGGATCAGACTTGCCAGATAGAGTCGACCAGGCGGACATTCTTCGCAGAGCCATGCTGCTTGGCAAAACAGGCTCTGATGGACGTCGATCATCTGATCTGATTAATTTAATTCCAGGCTGAGGCTCGGTAAGCTGTGAATCGTTTGACTTTGCTGTGCGCGATAGTCGCTTGAGCCACTGGCTTTTCCATAAACAGCTCATAATAGATCCCGAGGACTGACTGCGAACTGGTCTATTTATGTTTGTAGCTAATAAGCTCTGCTCTTCCAGTAGAGATAACTCTGGGCATTTCACGTCGTGAGAGCTTTTGTTTTGGTCGTATAAGCCATGCAGCTGTGTTTCTGATGATGCCATATTGGGTAGACATGTGCCTGTGTTGAGCGATGAGAAAGGTCCAGCATCCTGGTCACCCACACCTGAAGCGTTCGAGAAGACCACATATTTTTCTGGAGGAGAGATCCTTCTATCTTCTGAAGCATTTCCGTCAGGACATTTTATGCCTGTCTTTTTCCAGCCCTTAGTAGTTGGCATTTTGAGACGATTTCTGCAATCACTTAGAAGGAGACCAAAGGTTGGGCGCAGTTTCACCGAAAGAGACCGGGACTTCTAGCCTTTGTTCGGTAAGATACTCCTTGATCTAGGCGAGTCCTGTTCGAAGGTTGGCCACTGGTCAATCTCGCCTGATGATGACTCTAGGTCCTTATCGGCGCATAGAATGCCCGTAGTCCGTGGAACATCTTCAACTTCGTGATCATCCTGGCCTCCCAACGAAGATTCTAAAGGACTGTGCTGTATTGCCATCCCGTCCTGTGATAAAGAAGTTTTGTGGTAAGGGGGGGCAGGTATAGCGCCCAGAGTATTTGTTGTTTCTGTCGAGGGTTCGAATTGCCAAGTCTTCGTAAGAGGTGTCAGCTTATTTGTGCCAGAAACTTTCGAATCGGTCAATGGTGATTTAAGATGCCCAAGAGATGCGGTGTCATGGTTTGTTCTTAACTCTTTGATAGCCTCTGATCCCATATCCTCGCTTCTTGGCACGTCCACGGATACGCGTGAACTTGGAGGAGGGGTTTGATCGAAGTCGCCAACGTCAGTACCGATGTGATCATTAGAGTTCGCTTGAGGGAAAACGGCCCGAGTGTGGCCAATGAGGTTAGAAAACATGATGGAGTGTCACGTATCGTGTGCTGAAGCAGACAGCCGTATCGAATGTTGGACGCTGGTGACGAAAGTGTATCGCGATGACGAGGGGATTTACGCCGTGAGATTTATGCTCTACTAGACGCTGTGTTGGGAAAGGTTGACCTTGAGAAGTATTGTTGACGATTGTCTGAGTAGATGTAATACTGGATCAAGAGACTCAGTCATCGAACACGAGGGCGTTCCCAACAAGGTCTAGACTGAACACAGGGCAAGAATGAAGATGAAGACTAATGATTCTATCATGTATGTAGAGAAGCGGTTGCTAGGATGCGGAAGACAGAAAAGGGAAAAGGGTGAGAGGAGAGGCCGTTGTTGATGCTGTTGACGAAGAGTTACAAGTGACAGCACACGGTAAGGCCACTGACGGGTTGATGGCGGCAGACAGGATGTGCTAGTGCAGTTTCCTTTGCCAGTTTTGCCCAACCTGCCTTCCATTCACTTTCCTCTTCTCTCATCCTTGTCGTTATGCAGGAAGGAGCGATTGGATCAAGGGCAATATCCCGTTTAATGGCATCAGATACCTAGGTACCTAGATACCTAAGTAATAAAGGACAGTAATATTTTAGTTTGGACCCGAGCTCACCATGACGACACGTTAAGCTACGCGGTCAAGAAACCTGACTCGCGCGTAAGGCTGAACATGACATACCAGGTAGAGTCTGATGTGATCGTAGCCGAGTTTCAACACAGGCCCCTACCTACATGATACAGGCCTGTTACATATTAGGTAGAGAGGAACAAAGACCCAGCGACTCATTTTGCTGTACGTACCTTAATACGTCCCTTACAGATGCCCCTTACTCACAAGCGCCAGCCGCTGCAACCCCCCAGCTGGGACGACTCACCCCTGTCCCCTCCAGAGGAAAAACGCCTTGAGCACTCCACTAAACGTCATGCCCCTGCATACAAACAGCCCAGCTTCGGCAAGCCAGGGATCGTCTAGTTTAATTTCTTGGGGACTCTGGACGTCAGCACGGAACCTAACCTCAGCCGTTTCTGACAGCTGAATCGTGCCATCCCTAATTCGAACTAATCCCTGGAAAACCACCGCGATGTAGCGTTACTGCTTTGGCTCACCTCAGCCTTTGATGAGTTCCTCAAAACCGATAGACGAATCATCTTTCCATGTTCGCCAAGTTCAAAGATGCAAGCTTCAGGTAGCTATCCATCATGTCAGCACCAATTTGTGTTGACCAATTGCACCTGAGAATCCGGGTTCTCCTTATACACTGCATAGTCCATCCAACCTTGAGCTCGGTTGTAAGCTTGCGATGCATCTTTGTACGGGATTGTTACATCCTCCTAGGATTTTAATCTCGATTGTTGTACTCGTGTCGGGAATATAACACTCAGCAGTATAGGTTATCGAGTGCTAAGCGAAACCTCCAGCCTTTCCGCAACGATGTCGCACAGTCAGGTCCTAGTAACATGGAAGACGACCTTTATTGGTACACAAACTCGTTGTTCATCTATCCAAAACACATGCCTCAATATCCTTGGCAACCCGACTGATCGTCTCACACCCTGGAATAGTTCCCTGCATGGCGCCAGTGCGCCTAATCGCGCACCGCCCGCAAATCACACAAGCCCCCAGCCCTCCTTGTAATCTGCGTCAAAAGTTTCCTGAGTAAAACAGCCGAAATCCTTCTCGAGGCTGATTGGCCTTACTCTCGCCGAGCGCAACCATCCTTCCCGCGGGGCTCGATCTGGCAATCTACCGGGGTGGGTGGCCTAATAATAGGACACGCTAACCTCGGACGTCAATTACCATTGCCGTGTCCATGGGCTTGGACAAACTATCGAAACTGCTACTGCTACTGCAAGGCTGTGACTCGATTTAGTCGATGTAAGTGTTTTTTAGTACTTTCTGCCTTGTTTGTACGATGCACAACTTAGCATTAGAGCTGGTGGCTTACCTGAGGCCTCCCCATGGCACATCTAGTAATGCCGTTGCAATGTTTTCCCAGCGCCTCAAAGTCTTACACCTGTGTTGGAGAAAACATGTAAAACCTTTGGAGATGTGACTAGGTATAATGCGCACGTATCTCTTTCGGCCGAGGCTTTCAAGGCCTTGGTTGTGAAGTTGCGGAGAAGTTGACTTCATACGACCCACTTTGCCTGATGATCGCCAGGATGAGTTGAAACTAAGCCTCAGTAAAATAGGCACCAATCATGCTTTCTACTTGGGATATTCTTGCTAATGTAATTATCCACGATACGAGTTTGAGAGTCTTGAGCAGAGGTAAAATTGTCTTTTTCCATATCGTGAAACGTTCAACGTCCACTTCTGTTGCTAGTTGTTCGATTGGGAACTCAGTTCCTAAGTTAAGGACATCTGTTACTACATGACTAGGGTGACTGTTGCAATCAATGCTTTGTTGTAAGCCCAGGTGAGGTAGTATGAAAACAAAAAGAATACACCGGAGATTTTTGAAAGATCCTCTCCAAAAGAAATGAAATAATGGCCAGCCATCCGTTGTCCACATCTAATGCTACAAGCATTTTAGTAAGCCCCGCCAGTTCAAATGCAAACCGTGATAAAAGTCCCAGTGACCCTAAGATGTGGATCGTCTTTTATCAAAAAAGACATCCATAGAGAAGAGGAAGAAGAAAAGAAAAAGGAGAAGAAAACAAATCGCAGTACCATAGTCCGGGGGTCAAGACTTATTACCAGTAATGTCTCGGCCCATGATGCTCAAGAATAGAAATTCCACCGTCTAAAATCGCCGTGAGGCTCTCAGCACCTGCTGTTCCAAGATGTAATCCAATGTCGCTGTATCCTGACTTATTTCCAGCCAAGCGGAAATGAAGTCGCACCAATAAATCCATCGCTGTGCAAAGGGGCAAAAGGCCAAATAAGTAAACGCCATCCGACAATGTGAGTTGAGAGATTTTCCCTCCGTTGATGAATGCTGTAGCCGACAAGCAAATAAAGAACCATCGGCAAGTTCGAGAAAATAATGCCGTGTGTTAAAAGAAAGAGAGAAAGAAAGAATTGGTTGCGAAGGGGAAACAGCAATGCGAGTTGCTTTCCCCTACCAAAAAGAAGGCATCCCGTCGTGATCGTTTTCATGTCCATATCATATCTCATTCCCATGCCCTCGGCAACGTTGCTGTGATCTCCATAACAAAAGTGGTCATCCACCAAACGAGGAGCCCTCAATGGGCGACGAGAGAGCCAGGAAGTCTGCAAAAAGGATACGCCTAGCGGTGAACCTCATTCGGAACTCCACCAGTCCAACGAAATCCTGCTAGCAAAAAGGAGAGCTGCGATGGGTTGCAGGAGAGAAGGTAAAGCACCCAGTCGTCGAACTTGAATATCATCAGTCTTGGAGAGCAAGATCCCACTGCCGAAGACAGAATCGTTCATCGATAGCTCTTTGAGCTCGAGTAGCCACTGTGGTAGCCGCTGTCTGAGTAGCTATGTGGTGATGCATACTGAGCACCATGATTCGAGTGTGCAGAGCACAAGTAACCAACGAGGATCGTTCGCTGCTGGATAGGATGGCCAGGGCGGCCGTATGCTGCGCAGCGATCAACAGCATGGGTGTAGTAGGGGCATCGGCAAGCCGAATAGAGCTCGACAAGTTGATAGCACATGGTTGTGGTGGTGGGCCGTGAAGTTGTTGGCCTGGTGTCGTTGGTTTAGAATACAGGAAATTGCACAACCCAGTAAGATGTCTAATAGTTGAACCAACAAAGGAAGATATCGTTCGTGGTCTGGGTTCTTAATGAAGACAAGGAGCACTGAACAAGGAGGATGAAGCTTGAAGGCAAGACAGTGATAATCAATGGAGAAACGCTTGCTTTATGAATCTTATGAATAGAGAGATAGGAAGTGAGGATAAGACAATTAACTTCCAAAGAGGCATCGCAGCCTTATAGGCCTGCTTGTAGCCTGGACGAGAGCATCGAAGGTCATAAAGACACGCCCCGGTTCGGGGCTTTTCTTGACAAACAACACTCCCCGAGGACATCACCAGGATGTGTGTCAAGGCACCAGTGACGCCAGAGACGCCAGTTAGAGTGCGTGAGAGCAATAGCCGCAAGTTGAGTCTGACGGACTGTCTTCACAGGTGACAAAGGCTGGGGCGCGTCTATTGCAGGCTTGGGATAATTAGTGCAGACCCACCGCTGAAGGACCAAAGATGCCTTGGGCCTGGAGGGGGAGGGGGTCTAAAGGACCTTTGAATTTGGGGGCTTTACTTTTTTCGGAGGCTATGGCTCTTAGGACCTTGTGCGTCAAATGTCCTGTGCTCCGATTTCTTCTGTTTCATCGGGTGGTTCTTGTTCCGAAGGAAGCCAGAAACATGCCTTAACTCAACTTATCCATTGAGTGAGACTGAGAAAGCACGGGCTTGCTCTCAAGGCGCAGCAGCGCAGTGGGTGTGGATGAGTGAGTCTGGCTACTGGGTACCCGTACCGCATCAACCGGACAGGGATCCAACGGCGAGCGCAGGGGTAGTTCGTAGTGCAAAGCCTATAGTCCTGTAGGTACATACAGCATAGTGACTGCAGGGAATAGGCGGCGACGGGCCATACAACTCCATCCATAGGTTGGATGGAGGTGGTTCCTGGGTTCGGTGTGAGGAGTCATCAATTGGTCTGAGACAGGGAGGTTGAATTGACCTGCAGCAGGGCTGAAGAGGAGGGTTACAGACCTGGAAACAATGTGATGCAATGCAATGGCGATAGTTGAAATTGCACCCTCTTCCACTATCATACTGCATTGCATGGTACCAGCATGGTACCTCCTGTGCGTATCGTAGCTGCATGTAAGAGCGAGCGGATAGAACGACGTTTGTCTTGGTCGGCCGAGGGTGACTTCAAAAGCTTGTGATGGCGACCCTCTTCTTACCCTTAGAAAAGCACCACCATCAATGAATGTCGGCGAGAGATGCAGGCTTATGACGTATGCAAAGCGATAGGGCCTGTAATCAAGAGGTCTAGACCCATGAGACAACAGAAGCGCACGGCGTTGATGACAAAGGATGAGATGCGCTCATGGAAGACATGACGAGGATGTATTAATCAGGGTCTTTTTGTCTATAGGAGGATTGGGCCGTTAAGGTACCTAAGGTAGGTAGGTAGGTATGTGGAGAAAGTTATCACGGAATGGCATCAAAATTTAGGGGACTTTGGAGAGTTAGTCATTCAAGGCAATGGTTCGCCTGGCTGCTGTTCCCCATCGAAAAGCCGACTTACAGTTACACTTACCAGGCACTAACACAGGCCATCACACATGCCCTCGAATATCAACAGGCAGATCAGGCAGAGACTCTATTCTCGTCCTCAATGAGTAACAACGTTTGCTCCCTTCTATACACCAATTCTCCCCAGACGCAGCACGATGGGACTTTGAAACACGCAGCAACACGACAGCAAGTAAAACCCCAGCCACAATATCACTCGTTAATAAATGATGCCTGAAATGCCGTATCGGGAATGCAGACCGTCCGGACGACGTCTGCCATCCAAGCTTGAAAGATTCCTAACCAAAAAGTCACCAAGATCAAGTTCCCAGATACCTAGTACTTACCTTACTTAGGTACTAAGTACCTATATGCTACAATATTGATACAAAGATGCGTCTAAGAATGCGTCACACACTGTAGCACTGCTCAGCGCTAACCCTTGCTGCTCGGCACTTATGGTGATGGTGGGCAGGCCTTGCTGCGCCCAACGTCCCGGTGCTAGGGCACTGGAGTCCCTGAAATCTGATGTGGTTTCTCTAAGGTATCTCTCCAGCTTGTTTCCTGTTTCATACCAACAAGCATTAGCTAATTCCAACTGTGCAATAGTAAAAAGCCACCATCTCAAATTAGAGTCGAGGAGCTACCGACTAGACTGGCGGGCCTAGAATCGTATGGGTCTCGATCATTACCCAGGGGCTCCCTCATTCTTTCACGATTCCACAGATGACATTTTTGGACACCATGACAACTCTGTTCCATGACAACATACATAACAGCTCATAGAGAATCAAACACCCGCCCGTTCCCTAGATGGCCATGTTGCTGGGTTTCAAGTCAATGTGGCCTCAAGACGAGATATACTTGTCATCGAGACTACAGTCATGGCGACAGGGTCCCCTGTCCATCATAAGGCTGTGTCTGCATCCCACCCCAGGCCTTGGCAATGCTTGCGCTCTTCACGAGTGCACATTTGGGTTGTTATGACATAGAGTCGTGGTATCTGATAACGCTTTCATACTGCATAGGTGATGGATTGTGGTCTTCGCAAAGTCTTAAAAGGGACATGAAATCGCATGTGGGTTCCTCATTGTTGCAGCTCGTAAAGAAACATAGAGTAGTTAGTACCTGGGGATCAAGTGTGATTGCTCGGGAACCCATCGAGTGTATGTACGTCTGATGGTCTCAGATCGACCAAGACTTCCCCCCCTCCAAGACCAAAGTGTTGGAAACTGAGCACACCTCAACTAAGTCTGTCATACAACATTTCCGCGCAACTGACATGCATCCACACTACCACCATTATCCCTGAAAGCCTTCCGAGTACTGTGAAGGGCTGACCAGTCAGCACTACCACTGTACACAGTTCGACTTTGACTCTTTACTCTTGAATCCGAATGTGGAGGCAGCCGGCCCAGCCTTGCATTGGTGGCTTTCTGGATGCTCAGGTACGTTTTCTCACCCTCGAGTGATCTGGACAGTTGCCTCATATCGCTGACAAGTTCCCGAAAATTTCACCGCTCCCTACCTCATGTCTTACCCAAAGGCGTGATCTGGATTCCTATTGGAACGGAAAACAGTGTTACCTGCCGCGGCCATAGGTAGGATAGCAGGCATCTGACTTTCTTAGGTCAGTATTCTGGCCTCCCTCACGTGGGCTCCGGGCAGCGAGTTCGCTGACATCGTGGCCTTGAGAAGACTTGACGTGCCGTGCCGTGCAGTGCCGTATTTATTGTGAAGATGACGAGAATTCAGTGTTTTGAGTCCCACATACGTAGCGGTTGAGTACCTAGGCAAGATCATATGTTTTGACGCACAGCACAGGGCATTTCTGGCTCAAAACACTTCGAAGAAGGCTGATAGTGTAATAGATCTCAATGCAGGAGGCTCAAGTTGACTCCAACCGTGCGTTAATGTTTACTATTACATGACCATTCCGTGAACCATAATTAAATCTGTTAGATCGTGCACAGAGTCAAAAATCAATTGATCGGTCACTACTGTACACAATGTCTCACTTGGCCACCACCATCGACGGTCCGTTGCCGTTACATGTCTTGCCAGAGACACCACCTCTGAGAAAGTGCTCAATTGGTCCAGGTATAACCAACTGGGACGTCCTGATTGGGAATCACCTCTTCAGGCACATGTTTCTTCTAAAGTTTCCCAACTTCGAGATGACACTATTATTGGCATCCATGGTACTCCGTAGTGTGTACCCGTTCTCTCGGAATAAGGAATGCTGTGAGTTTATTCTTGGCAAACACCCTGGTTGGTTTACGGTTGAAACTGAGTGGCAGAGTCAGATGTCCCTATGCAGAACCAGTAAAGGAGTCATAGGTAGGTAAACAGGCATCAGGAATCACCCAGGCTAGAGCATCATCGCATGCAGGATAAGAAACAGGCCTTCAGTGACTGGCCATTAGACGCCCACACAGCTCAAACAGTCTGGCTGGGGCAGAAGGCAGATGACGAGCGAGCACGGACGAAAGAACGCCAGAGCCCTCCATCGTTATCATGGATGGTTGTCCAAGATGCTCACTCCTCGTCTGCCTAAACTGCTTTGCTGCTGCTATACGACTCGAAAAAAAATTGCGCTTTTGCGCATAATCTGGGCGTCAGAGTGCCATGATCATATCGTGGGAATCATTCTCTACTCAACGCACAATCCGGCCCTGACGTCTTACTATCATCAGCCTCGTCCGATAACCAATAGAACAGCCCTGTCGTTCGGAGAGGCGCCACTGCAGGCCCCACGCGCTGCGCCTCCCGCCGTGGCTTGCCCCCCCCCGTTGCGGCGACTCCGGACGAACAACATATTCTTCTCGTTCGGCCATATCATGACAACTTCTAATCCTCATCTGTTCTGTTGCAGTGACTACTAAACGCCCAAAAAAGTCATACCGGGCACAATAAGACGCAAGGCATTCTGATGACCCACCTCTGTGCATCTTGATTCTTTTTAGGGACACTCATACTGAGCTCAGTCTGCCTTGAACTCATGAACCCAACTAATACGATACCGGCACACATGCAGTCGTTTGAGCATACCTTCCTTGCCTTACTGTGACAGATGTCAGACTGAACTCTCGGCCGGACCCGTTTCTAATATTGTGATGAGTCCAGCTCCCGTCGTTGATTTGCCAATCATTTTCACATCCACCCCTTTCTGACCATATGTTTCCTACTCGCCGGGACTGACGTTATTGATCAAGGGGCATGCATAGCTCCCTGCACCATCGCTGACTGTCTTTTTCTTTATTTGGCGGCGCGGCTGTTTACCGATGCGTTTGCATCCTCAACCCTACCCATATTTCCCTCCCAGCGAAAGATGTCACCGTTTACAGTTAGCACAAGACTGTCCGTTACATGAACCCCCCAGCACAACATTTGCCGCCATGCCTCGCGCCTCTTCTTTTGATCTTGACGCAGCCGCGATCCTATTCGTGGTCACAGGCGTGGCCCGTCATCTGCCCGACATCATAAGGCGTAAGGCTGATCTGCAACCGCGGCGACGTTTCTCGAAACTATCCCATCCTTCGAGCTTCGGAACCTCAGCTGTTTGACGATCAAATAAGCATCTGACGTCGTACATGTTAGCGAGCCGTGCACAAGTACCCATAATTGTACTCATGGAAAGGAGGCCTCGTTCAATAATCAAGAGTCAACAATGAGTCTACTCTCGAATGTTCCATTATGTGTAAAGTTATCTGGTTGCCTGGAAGGCTCCCTGGTGTTAGCCATACTCTGTCTGGGTGTCCGAACCCTTCTTGCGAGCCCCCTTAACTTCTATACTCTCCGATTCGATACGGACAACGACATCTATTGAGTTGAGTTGAAACAGTCGTCAGATCTCGTGATATTCCCCCCTCCCCAAAACAGTTGCCGTCCATTCCCAAGCTAGGTTCGCTCACTGATCCCTGTCTCCTTGCATCACGAATTTGCCTCCCGCAGGTCCATTGCAAAGGGGTCGGAAAGCACACGTCTTTGGTCATCGCGTAGGCGTGGTAATAAGGATTGAAATAAATGGTCGAGATGTATCATGTGCCCTAAACCTGTCTTCCCTCTTCTGCATCCCCCATGCCTTGGCCACCCTGTAGGATCCATGCGGGTTTTGTTTGTAAGGCGAAGGCCAAAGTCAAACTGTCCCTGGCAACGCCGTTGCATAGTGTATCGGTTACCCAAAGATGCACGCACAATGGTCACAGCAAAATGTTTAACGCAACCTTAACTCCAATCATGATAAAAAAGGCATCTTCCAAATAGAAACTATGTTCGTCGACTCATTGCGGCTGTTGCACCCGCAGCGGCCAGGTCCTGCTTCGCACTCACACTCCTACCAGCAGCTCGAGGCAAGCCACTTGCTCCCTGTACAAGCCCAGTCGTACCGGCGCTCGTTCGTTTGGTTGGCACAGAGCCGATAGGTCCCGTGGTCCCGGAAGTCTTTCGCACACCACCAGAGACTAGTTTATGAGGGCTGGCTCCAGTTCGCAGAGACGTTGGGGGTTTGGCACCAGCACCTGGAGGCTCTGGCAGAGGCCGCGGCGTTGAAATTGTGTTATGCCGCTTCATGGGTGATGATTCGCGAGTTGGCGGCATACGAGGCACGGGCATCTTACGCCCAGTAATGAACTCGTGTCGAATCGCGTCCTCAGGTTTCATGCGTCGTTCGGGGTCCCAACGTAAGCACCTATGCAGAAAGTCTATGAAGACCTCGTCGTCGCATTTGAGCACCTGGCCTAGAGTTTTGGAAGAAGGGCGACGTCTGCGACCTTTGGACGATACCGTAAGACGGGGTTTGCCCATTGAGTCGAAGAAAAGTTTCTTTCGAGTGCTCTTCTCGATCAAGTGCTTTTCAGGAGGCCCAAAGACCTCCATGATACAAGCAAGTTGCTCTTGTTCGTTTTCTCCAGGGAAAATAGGGACTCCAGTATATAGTTCTGCCAGGATACAGCCAACGCTCCACATGTCAATCGGCATACCATAGGTCATGCCAAGGATAACCTCTGGTGATCGGTAGAAACGAGACTGAATATAAGTATATACCTTCTCATTTTCAAAACAGCTGGAGCCAAAGTCAATGACCTTGATTTCCGCATGAAGGGGATGTCGCAAGAGAATATTTTCGGGTTTGAGATCACAATGAATGACTTTGTGCTGCTTTAGCAGATTGAGTGAGCTGAGAATCTGCTTGGTGAAGCGCCGAATGATCTTGATAGAGAATCCTCTGAAAGCGTGGGCTTTGATGAGCTCGTAGAGATTCATGTCAAGTAATTCTGTAGAGATGCAGAGATGACCACGGAAATAGAAACTTTGTGTAAAGTTGACCATGCTGTGTCTATTCTTCGGATCCTGTACCAAGTTAGCAAAGATACTGAAGGGTGATTAATGGCTCTAGCTTACCCATTCACGAAGCTTTTGCAGAATGTTGACCTCCACAAGAGCCTGTTGATGAAATCTTTTCTTGTTCCTTATGATCTTGATGGCCACCAGACCGCCAGTCTTGTGATCAATGCACCGAACAACTTGCCCAAAGCTTCCCTTTCCTAGAACATCAATGATCTCATAACGATATGCAAGGTGGTCTCCAGGGACAATGGTATAATCGCCACGCTCGTCATCATATCCAAAGTTTGGTGCGTCAGACTGGAGATCACCCACAACCTTGTGGGCGTTCTGTGTCCCGCAAAAGTACACATCGGTATAGTCCACAATTTCGCCCCTCTCATAAATATTGAGCATGGCAATACGAATCGCTTCGTGGGCGCCAACTCGCTCTTTGGGGGTGGCTCGCTTTCTGAGTGCGTCAAGGGTTCTAGCAGCAACATCCGTCTCTTTGCGCCTGGAACCCAACTTAGCCATCTCTTCTTCTGCTGCCATATCGTCCTTGTCGAGGTCTGCAGAGTATGAGTCAGGGCCTTTCGACATGCCAGAAGAATTCCTAGGGCGAAGGATTTTCTGCATGACTGAGGTATTTCGACCAACGGGCATTGTTGAAGGGTCCGGCACTGTTTTCTTCACAGTCCAAGATTCGCTTTTTGTCTTGTCGTGGGACATGAAGCCATTGAGGCTTCCACCAGAGCTCTTTCGCCTCCGCGACTCAAGATACCCTCCAGGAGGTTGCTTCACGGTTGGGGAAGGGCTGGCTTGCTTGAGAGTTGACAGGTTATTTAAAGTAGAGGAGATAGGGATCCTGGGAGGAGGCATAGGTTCCTCTGGCTGCTTCGCATTGGATTTCTCAACCACATCTGTAGGGGCGGTAATGTTGCTCTTGGAGTTCCCGCGCTTCCAAGAAAGACTGAGTTTTCGTCGAATGGAGCTCATGGAGGAGGGTGTTTGTGGCTCATCTAGCGAAGGTTCCGGTTGAGGAGATTTGGGAGTTGGTTCGGCCTCCTTAAGCGCACGAGGACCCGTAGGCTTCTGATGGATTTGATCTTGGAACATGTTTTCATCCAAAGTCATGAAGTCGGCTCCCGTCTTAGACCTCTTTAAGAAACCAAGATCTGCGCCCCCCTTGGGTAACGAGGATGACAAGAAAGGAGAAATGCTTTGCTTGTGATCAAGTTCCTTGAAAGCCAACGACGATTCAGTCGAACTAGCATCAGGGGGTGTAGGCGTGAGATGTGTGTGATGAACTGAACTGCTGCTCCTAAGAGAGGGAAGCTCAGGAGTATCGCCATGGCGACTTTTGGCAAAGAAGGAGCTTTTGGAAGCTGTCATAGGGGTTGTGGGTGTCTTTGGCAATTGCCGGGCTGGTGGTGGAGTTACGTGCCTATCTACACTGCTGTGGTCCTGCAACGCTGCAATCTTGTTAGCAGTTGGGGTGCTCAAAGGTCCCAGGTTGATTGGTGGCAGTCTAAGAGGCTGCAGATGTCGCTTATTTGGAGGAGTGGCCTTGCTATCAGGCTCAGCTGCCACACTCGGTACATAGCTCTTTCGCGCGCTGTGCTTTCTCTGAAGCTTTGTGGGCTCAGGAAAGACAGGCATAGAAATGACTCCAGTAGAGTTTGAGTTCATGCCCATGACATCCATGTTACTAAGCGCAGTCTTTTTCTTCTCCATAAAATAAGTGTCTGCGGGCGAATCTTTCGGCGACTCGTAGGCTTTCGGTATAGCAGGGACAGGCGGAACATATTCGTCATCGTCAGTCGGAATAGGATTGTGGACTGTGGTATGTTTTGGTGCAGGCAAGCGTGACGTTGATGAAGAACCAGATATACGGTGTAGCGATCCAGTTGATGTTCTGGCCGAGTTCAGGCTGAAGCCCGAGTTAACTGATAGATTTGAGTTGAAGGATTTACGGTGGAGGTCTGGCGTAGTTCTCGAGGATGATGGGGTACCAGAAGTTCGTCTTGGAATCATGGAAGGCGATTTCGATTCAGCCCTCTCAGGCTGATTGTTCATCGACACTGGTGGTGGAGGCGGAGGGGCGGAAACCTGGCCTAGACTCAACGACTGCGGCATTGTTGAGAGTCGCTTCATCCTCCTTGTATCAGTGGGACTAATTGTCCTTGCGCCGAGGCCAGTCGCATGTGATGAATGGTGGGCGCCAGGCATCATCGAAACTCTCTTGTTGGCAGAGGACGGCGTGCTCAATCGGCCTCCGACCCGAGGGGATCGCGGAGCCAGGGTAGAGTGTCGGTTCTGCTCTGGGGTGAGAGTGTTACCAAGACCAAGGTTGGTTTGATTTGGTCGTGGTGGCGGTTGTACTGATTTGGATTTCGCAGCCCTTGAGTTGGGAAAATTTCTTGTATTATCGAGCCACGGTGGATTGGCGTCCATAGAAGCTCTCGTCGAGCCCGTAGGGGTCCCTTCAGAAAAGAGACTGGGGCGTCGCTTCTGGGGAGGTCGGGTTCCATAGTCCCCATCGCCAACAATTCCTGGGCCGATCGACTTTCGAGGAGGTTTTGGCACGACAGTATTGGAGACAGGCGGGTATTGATTTTGTCGACGAGAGCGTGCAGCGCCCGGCCCGTGGATATGATCAGTCGGACCAGAAGCACCGGAGGCATTAGCAGGCGGTCTGTTGGAATTGCTAGGTCGACGCAGTAGCGAGCCTGATCGAGCGGGTCGAGTGTTGGTTTGGACAGCAGTTCGAGTGGCAGCACCATTCGATGACGGAGCTACTTGAGATCTAGAAGACATACTGGCGTTATCTACCCCGTGCGTGTCGAGGATGCCCCCTTCGCCGTTGGGAGACGGGAATTGGGTCAGTTTGAAGTCTGTTGAAGCGGATTCGATGCTACTCTGTAAATCGTCGAAGCTGACAGAGGGCAAGAAATCGAAAGAGGCAGTCGAATCGTTTAATTGACCTGAATCTCCATCACGACTAAAAGAAAAAATGGAATGATTATTGGAAGGAGTTGCGCTGAGCATTGGATCGTCAGAGGCAAAGCCAGGGTTCGTCGAGGGGATATGTGGTCGAGGCTGAGCGTTGGCGGTTTTGCCCCTGTCACAAAGGGATCAAGGTCAGCTTGGCCATGTGCAGAATAGAAAGACTTGGATATGACGATGACAGCGGTACGCCAGAACACGCATTGACCAATATGTCAAACGAACGAAACAAATAGAAAAATGTCAGATGGAAAGGCTCACAATCGTGTTGGAGAAAAGTTGGCTGGTCGAGGCCCAGCAGGTGCCTTGTGGTCGCGGCTCATGGGGTCCAAGGTCGAGGGGCGTGGCTGGCAATGCGACGAAGGTGGATTTCACGGGGTCGGGTCGCTGGCACAGACTCAGTCCGGTCAGGGAGCTGAGCGCATTCGAACGGCTACCTCATTCCGGAACCGATAAGAGTATAGAAGCGCAAGAGAGCAGACAGAATCAAAGCAAGAGGCAGTGAGCGGTTGGCGACAGGCGAAAAGGAGCCCGGAGTGATTGATTGCGGTGGGCACCCCGAGAATGGGATGGTACAGTAAGATGCGAGATGGTGTAGAATAAAAAGATGGAGTCGTTAAGTTGGTTAGGTAAGGTTGTGTTTTTTTTCTCCTTCTCTAGATGGGGACGGCCTTCCCTTAGGTTCATGGAACACTGCTATAGGCGGCCACTGGCAGTTCTGGAAGGAGGCATGGGGAATACCTGCGTGCTAGGGTGCTCCCCTGAGGTAGCGGGCATCACACTTTCTAGCGTGTGAAGAAAGACACCTGAGAGGCTGATATGTTGGAAGGGGCCTCGTGAAAGAACGTCACGGTTGATAATGAACAGTGGATAGCGGATCTCGACACGGTAGAAGGGCAGTTTGATTGGCTACTAGAGCTTTGAAATTGGTCCCTGGATGAGATGCGGGCAGAGGTCGAGGTCCCATACCGGCTGTCAAGATGCCTTTTACCGCCTTTTAAGTGGATGGAAGGTACCTGTATCTTCCCCAACATGTAACCTCATACATAATGCAATACCTTAGGAACGTCCCCTGACTTTATTAGCCTTTCACGAACTCAACGATGCATGTCGAGGAACGTCGACCATTCGTGATAGAATATGGAGACATTCTCTGAACAATAATCAAATGCCAATCCGAATCCGGGCCAAGAAACTCGCGCCCCTGGATGCATTTGTCGCGTTTTATCGTCATCTCATTCCAAGCTACCTTATTATACTGCTACCATTTTCTGCCAGCCGGCCTCTATAACACATCCACCACCTGATAATGAGCGGCGATGGCGGTGGTTTTAGGTAGAAGATTTGCATGGCCAGTGGAGAAGACAGCGGTTTCGCGAATGAATGCTACCAGCCATACCATCCACGCATAGTGCCGAGTCGCGTGAACCGGTTGACGCATCAACGGGCACTGGCGCGATGCGCTACCCAGGTCGACAAACAGTGTTTGTATTGGGCCGCAATCGGATGTTGACATTGGACCTGAGGTAAAGATAGCTGGCTTTCACGAAACGACAAGCGAATCGATTTGATATTACGACATTGGCAGATGCTTCGTTGTTTCTCAATCAGGCCGTTCGCAACCAGGCTCAGGTCTCTAGATTTAAGAGTGCTGGGGCTGTTATCGTGACGAGGGACGGGCCAGACGGTGTGGCTAATGGATAAATAGATGTCTTATTCAAGCCTCCCGCTCAGACCATGAACATCCAGTGAATACGTACAAGGATTGAGTCGTGTCTCAGATTTTCAGGGACCCATCGATTTGCCCCGACAGGAGCTTTCTCGGGCATCTTCAACCGGTAGGGCCATACGGATGCATCTCTATTATTTACCAAGCATTTGCCGGACCAATTAACTAACCTGTCAAGGCTGTTGTCGGTTGGTACTTTATGCATTGTTGTCCTGCCAAGCATCAAGGATCTGATGGTCCTGCATCTTGAGTCGTGTTTATTGTTTTTCGCCGTCAACACGGAGTACACGGTCTTGGATGATAGTTGGCAGCTCATAGCTGCTCCCAGCACCTGATTGCCGCATGAGTAATCTAGCATCTGGTGTGTGTGAGCTGTCGTTGTCATGGGCAATGTCCTGTTTGAAGTGAATTAAACCCATGGCTATGATATGCCGCTTCATCTCATCAACCACGCATCAGACACCGACGAGCCGGAACACTCATCAGTGTGTGACACAATCAAGCTATCGGGAAGAAATTCGCGGCTTCAAGGTCATCGCTGGAATGGACTGCTGAAAGCCTCCATAGCTTTAGCAATAGCGCGGAAATGACGAAGCTTGTGTATGTAGGTATGCTTTCTTCATTCGAAATTTAGTTGTGTGGGGTAAGCCAGATTTACTATAAGGGACGACATGGATGTCTCTATAGTCATCTAAATTAGGGTGGGATGTATATGATATGGACCATGTCTCAGGACTTATTAACTCTCTCATGATGTATGTAGTTGCATCCTTTATTTAGATCGATGTCAAGTCTTCCAAACTTCCCCAAACGAGGCAATCCATCTGCATCCAATTTACTGTACTACGTACTTCAAAGAGCATATCACAGTCTGAAGGCGCTACGGCCCGCTTGGCACTACTGTAAACTCTAGCTGACGGCAGAACCATGGAGGATATCCAGTAAATCTTTTCCCACCCACCCATAACGAACATTACTTACTGCTGAATCGAGGCTAGCTTCTCTCCGTTAGGTATTATTAGAAACCGTTACCACGCGGTCAGTCTAGGTTAGGTAAGTTCCCTTCGTAACTCGGTAGCCACAAGATGCTCACCAACCTCCTTCGGATCTAGGTGTAAGTGATGTCACCACCTCAGTGTCACATGCTCACCCGCGATCGTGCCGTGGCACCTCCACGCGGGTATCTTGAATCCCCAGTTCCCTTTTGGATTCTCCACCATCCAAAGTCACACCATGTCTTGAAACATCCCTCCTCATGGACGACTTCACTGCAGAAATGTTCGCTACTGGGCGCAACCTTGACTCCTCCGAGAGCTCAAGCCAGCACCCCAACAATGATCAGAACGATGGCAATGATAAGCAGCCCGAGCCAAAGGCCGCCGAATCAAGCTCTCAGAAAACGGGCCTACGCGGAGGATTGGCTGCTATTCGCCAGAAAGCTAGCTTACAGGACCGATTAGTAGAAAAGTATATTGAGCTGCCCGAGCCGCTGTAATACTGTCCTTTACTGACTGGTGCCGCGGTAGACTTCTTCAGCAAGTTATACCTACGGATGGCGATGACCAAACCGAGGTTCACTTCGTCGGTGATGAACAATCAGCCACTCATACCGAGAGGCCGAACTTCAATATTACTACCATGTCCTACAACTTTCGGCGATTCAACGCTCGAATAGGCGTTGTCTTTAAATTCCAGGCCCGTGTGGAACGTATTCTATCCTGGAAGCGCGCGTCGCATACTCTGTCACTCCTCGCCGTCTACAGTTTTGTCTGCCTGGATCCTTATCTCCTGTTTGTGCTGCCTGTTGCCATCCTTCTGTTTGGTGTCTTCATCCCCGCGTTCCTGGCACGGCATCCAGCACCACCGAAGGGAACTTTGTCGAGTGAGCAGAATGTTGGATATTCTCCCCAGGGACCACCTTTGGCACCTGCGGCGACGGTGAAACCAGTCAAGGAACTCAGCAAGGACTTCTTTCGGAATATGCGCGACCTACAGAACTGCATGGATGACTTTAGTCGGGGACATGACCAGGTCGTCGCCTTACTCGTACCAGTGACGAATTTCAGTGATGAGGCTCTCAGTTCTGCTCTATTTTTATTTCTTACGGCCGGAGGCATTTCTATGACAATTGCGGCCCAAATTCTCCCCTGGCGCTTCATCTTCCTTCTCGGGGGTTGGGTTATCGTGGGTATGGGTCATCCGTACGTCGCCCGCCTCATTGCTGCCGCTCATCGAGAGCGTCTTCAACCACAAGAGGCCAAAGCTCGGTCGTGGTTAGATAACTGGATCAGTTCAGATGTCATCCTCGATTCCAGTCCTGAAACGCGTGAAGTGGAGATTTTCGAGCTGCAGCGCAAAACCTCGGGTGGTGGCGAGTGGGAGCCTTGGCTTTTCAGTCCTTCGCCCTACGACCCTTTGTCACAACCTCGAATTGCAGGTGAGCGACCACGCGGAACACGCTTCTTTGAAGATGTAATGCCACCCGAAGCGTGGGAATGGAGCGAGAAGAAATGGGCTCTGGACCTTTGGAGTCGTGAATGGGTAGAAGAACGTATTATTACAGGCGTTGAAGTTGAGACAGAAGGCGAGCGTTGGGTTTATGACATATGGGACGAGCGAGACGAGCGAACGGGTGTTGTGGACGTTCCTATCAATGAGAAGGGGAAGCAAAAGGCGACCCCGAAACCAAGCTGGGAGGAGAATGAAGATGGCAGTGGCCGGAGAGGTGACTGGAGACGACGGCGATGGGTCAGATTGGTGAAGCGCAAGGCAGCTCCAACACAGCCAAGTTGATCTGATGCATCTCTGTAATATCACGCTCTTACTTTGATTTCTTATTTTATGCAAGGTGTTGGTCGGGGCATGAGATGGTCTACATAATTGTGGCCAAACATAGTAGGCATTGTTATGTTCCAGTTAACATGACGTTAAGAAATTCCATCTGGGTTTTGCTCATTCAATTGGACAGTATGGGCTACCAAAGAGTGAATAAAAAAATCCAATCCGCATGCTGAAATCACGCTTTCAGAGTCCAAGTGGAATTATGCTGAACAGGCCTCTCCTGTGGCCACAAAATCGGAGGTCGTCAGATGTCTCTGATTTGTGTCACAACATTCTATATGCGCTTCGCTCATAACACGTCAAATCCGTGAATCGTAACGAGATAAAAGAAATAAACCAAGACGCTGAATGGATATCATTGAATGGCCATCTTATCGAGAATCTTCTGAATGCCCTTCGTGCTGCCACGGCCCTGGTCGAGCTCCTCGGCCATCTTGCGAGCCCGCTCGATGAGGACGCTGAGAACTTTGCGGGTATACTCGAAGCTGCCTGTGGACTCCATATAGGCAACAGCGTACCGCTTGATCTGGGTGTCCGAGGTCTTCTGCTTGAGGATGTTGATGAGCTGGAGATTTGTGGGGTTGGTGCGAATGCTGTGGATGACAGGGAATGAGAACTTGCCCTCGGTCAAATCCTCGCACATTCCCTTGTTATGGCTGTACTCCTTCGAGGACAAATTCATGTAGTCGTCTCGAATCTGAAAGATGAGACCGATTAGGTTGACGAGCGGAACACAGTCTGTAGGACTAGGGCCGTTGGCTTCCGCTGCCATAAGCTTGATGCCGAGACGGAACAGGCCGCCCGTCTTGTTACCAACCATTTCGAGGTAGTCCTCTTCCGTAGGACAGGTAAGAGTGTCACGCCAAAACAGGTCCATGCCCTGGCCTCGGTGGAGGTTCACAAGCTCATCGGAAAAGATAGTGATTAGCTCTGGATTGTTGAGCTTGTGTAGCTCTTGTAGGGCGACAAAGTATATGTAGTTTGCCGAGTTAATGGTTTGAGCGACACCAAAGATGTTGTGTGCGACAGGGAAGCCACGGCGCAGCTCGGACGAGTCCTGTACGTCGTCGATAAGGAGCGAAGACTCGTGCAGCATGCCAACGACTCGGGTGATGACCTCGAGGCTCGGCGCGGGCACATCGAGCCAGACATTGAAGGCGCCGATCAGCTGGGCGCGGAAGTCCTTGCCAGGATGGCTAATGACATAGTCATAAGGTCCGCGGACGACATTTTCCTTCTCGTCAGTCCAAGAGCGCTTAGCCGTGAACTCGAGATCCTCGTGGGCGTAGCGCTCGGGATCGGGAGGCGGATTGGGAGCTTGCATAACGCCGTAACCAGCGTTTGACATCTGTGCCTTTGGGGAGAGCTGCTTCTGGCTCAACCAGTCGCCTTCTGGAACAGGGCGCAGAACGGGTTTTGTGGGTGTCGCGTTGAGAGAGGTCGGGATGCCGGTGCTTGAAGTGCGAGGTGGAATTGCATTGGGAGACATAAGTGGGTTGGAGATACCAGACATCTTCTCCATTGCCTTTGGCGAGAGCGACAGCATGTGTAAGGCCGACGGGGGCAATGCCTCAGGGTTGAAGGAGAGGATGGGGTCGGCCGTGGGGATCATGCGTGTTAAGTTTTTGGGGGGGTAATAGAATGCGATTCGTCTAAGGGTAAAAGAGCAGAGGATGAGGGGTCCTTTTTTGGCGGATGATCGATGACGCTGCTGAAGATATATGAGATGCTAACTGGAGAAAGACAGGCAGAAATCAATATGGGACGGAAGCGAAATAATAAAGTGATGGCGTATACGTGGTGTTTGGCCCTGTCCTGTCTCGTGGCGTACTGACAGCGAATGGTACTGTCGGGATGCTCGGGTGAATCTATAAGTGGTCGACGTCATTGAATGTCCAGACGATACATGTCTAAGCCTGCCTGATGCGAGGATAGAAGGGTCATAGAGTTGACACTGAGCCTGTGCGCATGCTTGCAATGTGGATAACCTAAGTACCTAGGTAAATAGGTACTCAGCCCAATTGCTTCTGTGCTGATTAGCAGGAGCCTAAAAGCGAATCCTGCAGGCTGCAGCTATCCAGTTTGAGGTAGGTCTTTGAGAAGGACGAAGCTGCCCAGAGCTCTCTCTGTCTTGTGATGAGGGGTCATGGTGAGGGTGAGCATTGTGGGCTAGGTACATACTTGTTCGCAGGACACGCCATCTTTGCACCTTGGCGCAGCATGAACTACAAGCCCGCCCTCTACAGCATGTCAAGTATCTATTAACTGACACGGCCGTGCCTCTTTTTAGGGGTTCCCGTCACAGGCTACTGCAGAATGGATAGGACGGGAGCTCTGAGACGGGAACGCAGCTTTGCTTTCCGTTTCTTTGTTGTTGATGAGAGGGGCTAACGACAAGGAAAATGGAGTCTTTGCTAGGGGGCAGATCAACGTGGGACTGTGAATATGATTGCGGGGAAAGACAGACAACCAAAAGCAGCCAAGCCAGGTCATTCAGTCCTATATTACCTAGCTGCACTTGATACATAGTCATGTTGGTATAGATTGTAAGCATTCATACCTTTGATGTTTTTGTTGCCGCGTTGCACGAAAGTATTATTGAGAGTCGGGTAAATAAATATAACTATGGATATCTGTAAGTAAGTCAATCAGTTTATTAGTGGCAACTCTGTCGACTTATATTCAGTCAAAGGCACGCTGCATGTGTGCCAGGGATATAACAGCTAAAAGAGAAGACAAGACTGAGTGAAAGTGCTTGCGAGACACTTACATTAGTGGCAAGGATAAATAGATCCCTTAGGTAGTCGTAATATACAGCAGATAATAGCGCAGTGAGACAACAAATGAAACAAAGCAGGAAACATTCTTTGAGGCACCAGCTCTCCCTTTATCTATCTTCAACACCATCTCGCGGTCATTAAATATTTCGATTCGTTGGGACAGAAAACACACCACCTCAGCCCATTGTAACATCAGGGCTTGCGAAGCCCATGCTCAGCTCGCTGAGGAATAAGGCGAAGACAAACACGTTGAGTCCATCCCTGGTTTCCCTTTGTCACGGACCATGTCTGCACCTTGAGATCTCGCCAGATAATTCTAGATTTTCACATGCAAATCAAGGGTGTGCCAAAGAGCTGATCAACGGAGTCAGATCACGTTGCTTGAAGAACCCCTGTTGTCTATATCTGGCCCGTGGAGCTTTTGATGCGCCTACCCGGGACTAACGTTTCGATGCCCAAGTTCGACAAGTTGGACCACATTCATGCTTAAGACATTATTCTTCTAATCTATCTATCCTGCAAAGTATCTCTCTTTATGAATATCCATTTCAATCGTATGTCTGACCAAGCGTCTAAATACTCCAAGAAAGTTGGAACTCGATATTTACTTAACAATATCCCACATCTCATTACAACAGTCAAACCATGTAAGTCATGAAGCATTTATTAATACTTTAATCAACACCATGTATTTATGATATCTTAGTAATAATTAAAGAACCAAGAGTCTACAAAGACAACAGGTAACGTTAATATAAACAAAACATCATTGTACAACGACATTGTCCAGTCGCTTCATCACCCAAAGCCTCAGTGTCTGACGCTGACCACGGTGATAACAATCTCCGTTCACAATCGGCCGAAACATTTGTCATACGGCAACGGGGATCCGAAAACGCGAGAGCCGAGCCATTCTCTCGAATCCTCGATCAAAGCTAGTACCTATTTCTCAACGTTGAACGGGAATTAATTGCCGTTGTTCAGGTGATGTAGCCTATAGTGTAATAAGACCTGCCAAGGTATGACGACAATGGTGGAGCGAAAGTGGTGATGCGGTATGAAGATCAGAGAACGGACTTAGATCTGATTTCTAATTTATTTCCGGGTCTGGAGAATCGACACTAGAAGCATAACAGTGTCATTGACTTCAAGAGGACTCCCTAGTTGATATCAGATATGACATATGCAGCGTGTTCAATATAAATACGAGTCTTGGCTCTCTCATCATGGCCAAATATGCCCATGCCTTGTAACATTACCAACAGCCATGGCCCCTATACATCGGATATTCTCATCGGCTAACAACAAGCCCTATCGAACCAAGCAACTTGAAGAAGAAATGCCCCCGTACTTAAACGAGGATGGCTACGTCGACTTTGCGCCGGGCGACATCCAGAACCCACAGAATTGGTCTACTGCTCGGCGCTGGTCTGTCACGTTCTCAGCTGTGTTGCTCGTACTGAATGCTACTTTTGCATCGAGTTCGCCAAGTGGATGCTTCCCGTCTATCTCAGAACACTTCCATGTATCCGAGTTGGTAGCAGGCTTGACCATCACCCTGTTTCTACTGGGTTACTGTGCCGGACCGCTCCTCTTCGCACCACTAAGCGAGCTCTACGGAAGAAGATGGATCTTCTACATTACCTTTACGCTGTATCTCATCTTTAACTTTCTGTGTGCCTGGGCACCTAACTTTGGCGCCCTCCTCGTCGGCCGTTTCCTCACTGGAACGTTTGTCTCTGCACCCCTCAGCAATGCACCCGGGGTACTCGCAGACCTGTGGACCCCGATCGAGCGTGGCAATGCCATGGCAGGATTTTCTGCCATGGTATGGGTCGGGCCAGCATTGGGGCCTGTTATTGCCGGGTTCCTCGAGCTGAAGAAGGACTGGCGTTGGAGTTTCTATGTCCTTCTCTGGCTTGGTGGTGTAACAGCTCTTATCATGTTGACTATTCCCGAGACACATGCTCCCACAATTCTCCTTAAGAAGGCTCGAAGAATACGAAAGGCAAAAATACCCGGTTATGAGAATGTTAAAGCTCGTTCTGAAGAGGGTGATCGTACGCTGAAGACTGTGTACCGTATCGCCTTGACCAGACCGTGGATTATCCTCTTTGATACCATATCCTTTCTCTGCGCAGTCTATATGTCTGTAGTCTACACGTTATTATATATGCTCTTTAGCATCTATCCAATCGTGTTTCAGCAGCGACGTGGCTGGAACCCTGGTGTTGGAGAGCTGCCCTTGATCGGGACTGTTATTGGCGAGTACTTTGCATGCATACAATTCCATCGAACTTATACTAACGTGCTCGAAGGTGCATTCATAGGTGGTGGCATAGTTTTGATGGATACGCGAATTCGAAAGAAAAAGATTGAGAATGGAGACAAGCAGATGGAGCCCGAAGATAGACTGCCATTGGCAATGATTGGAGGTGTCGGATTTGCCGTGACCATGTTCTGGTTTGCATGGACAGCTGAGTACAAGTAAGTAACTGAGTGATCACAGTCCTCCACATAACTCAAGTCGTCACACGCTCTCGGGCTTGAATTGTCACCAATAGATATGTATGCATACTGACATTGGCCCTTGCAGCTCTATTCATTGGATCGTACCGACACTTGCGGGGACATTCCTAGCTACATCTTTGATGTTGATCTTCGTGGCTTTCTTGACCTATCTCGTCGACGTCTATCTTATGTACGCGGCATCTGCTATTGCAGCCAATACCATTGCTCGATCAGCATGCGGCGCTGCTGCTCCCTTATTCACAACACAAATGTTCGATACACTGGGAGTTGGTGGTGGTGGAAGTCTAATCGGAGGAGTTGCTGCAGTTCTAGCCATTATTCCGTTTCTGTTCTACAGATACGGTAAGCAGATTAGGATCCGAAGTAAGTTTGCGCCGACAGAGGAGAAGAGCGAAGCCAGGGAGAAGGATGAGGAACAGGGTGACAACAATGCCACTGCTCGGAGGAATAGTGTTTTATCTCATTCAGATAGGGCGAGTAGCTCGGATACCACAGTGGCCGCCGCATGATACTAGAAGCCAAATTAGCACAATACTCAACATCCTTTTGAACTATCATCTTAGACATGCCGTTAGTCATCGGCAATGTCACATTGACATTGCTGCCGAGAGTTTTGAGGTGTAAGTGGACTACTTATACCCAGTTCTCGAACATTGCTGGACGTCGGCTGGGCACTTCGTATCCAATCACTAGGTAGGTATCTACACTTACAGCTCAACATTTCTGCGAGCACTGAAAAGAGCAAGCTCCCCAGGAGAAGTGGCTTTGATTGGTGCCTTGGTGCTGTCCATGCCATACGGTTCGACTTACTTCGCTGAGAAAGATATAAATATGCCATTATGTATAATGTGGTTCCAAGCTCAAGGGCATCGTCGTTCAAGCCTAGTAGGGCATGAGAATTCTACCGGTTGAGGCGCATGACTGAAAGTTCCATTAAAAAAACAGGTGAGCTTTTAATCAACGTCAATAGATAAATTCTTGGGCAATTTAGAGGCAGGTCCGGAATAATACTATGAATCTAAATTAGCCTTGAATACTTAGGTAGATAACGAGATGACAGTGTAAGAGCCAAGACCCCTTCAGCTGGTTGTATGCATCTTTTTAGTACACCAAGTATCGGAACATGCATTTGCCGCCTTTTCACACAATTGTGCATGAAACGCATGAAGCCATATAAGGTAATCAATGATGATTATGTGAGCATCTATCCCCCTCTTTAAGCTCGGAACTTCTTTGTGTCGATCCTCGGCCACCTGCATTATGAACCACCGTCTTTCTAACATTAAGCAATCACCATGGGACGGACAGTAATTGCATTCGACCTGTACGGTACTATTCTCTCCACCGGATCGATAGCAGGAGAGTTGGCAGAACTATACGGGCAAGACAAAGCCCAGTCAATTGCCGCTCTAGCAAGGCGATATCAGCTTGAGTCAACATGGCGCGTGACCAGCATGGGTAAGTTGAGACAAGCCAAAAATGAAGAGCCACCACTGATGATATCTGAAGGCGCTTATCGCACATTTAGTGACTTGACGAGATGGTCATTTCGGCAAGCTACGAAAGAGATTGGTGTTGAGCTTAGTCCTGAGCAGGAAGAGCGTATCATGGATGCATATAACGGCCTAGACACATTCCCAGATGTGGATAGAGCACTTGGAAAGCTGGAAGAACATGTATCCATCGATCCGTACATCTTTTCAAACGGAACCAAGGCCATGATGACATCGTCACTCGATACATGCCCAACTTTGTCAAGAGTGAGCAACATATTTCCCCACGAGAAAGTCGTCAGCATCGATCCTCTCAAAGTGTTCAAGCCGCATCCTCGCACGTATGAGTTCATGGCTGAGACAGCGGGAATGAAGTCTCAGCTTGATAGGGTTTGGCTGGTAAGCTCAAACCCATTCGATGTCACTGGTGCTGTAGCTTTTGGATTCAAGAGTGCATGGATCGACCGTGAAGGAAAAGGCTGGACTGATACACTGGGATGTTCACTGGGACTTCAGCCGACTGTGATAGCGTCTGGTGTGGATGAAGCTGTGCAGGTAATCTTGCGTCAGTCTGAGGAGTTTAAGTAGGACAATGGTGGTTTTATGCCGAATCATAATGACGTTCCTAGTATAACTCCGGTCATCCATCAATTTATACATGAGTTTTCGGGTATGATGCGAGGCTATTCGATCATAGATAGGTATCCTGTAATCATTGAAGTGATGGGTTTGCTGGCTGCAGTGCTGAACTTCTTCATGTGTTCAAACAAGAATCAGCGAGAAACTGTCGATCCTATAGTAAAAGTAAATGAGACCATAATCTAATCGAGGAACCAGCTGGGAGAATATCAAGCTTATCAGCCGAAGTAGATATTAGGCCGAGATCATTTCGAATAACCGTGATAACCTAACCAATACCTACAATTTCCTTGTATATGAGAAGAAACGCATGTGACTTGATGACTTGAGGATTATCCAACGTCCAATATCAGTTATTCGCTTTGGAATCTGATCAATGATCCCCACGAATCCAGATTACTCTCTGAGACCTTTGTTTCCTCGGGGCTTAACTAACTACCAGGTAACTTTAGTGGTTAGCACCGCGTTGCTGTGCAAACAAGTCCATGGGTCTCTGCCTACCAAGCGTTCTAGCATTCCCATCTCGTGGATCAACCATAGGTAGCTACCTACCTATACTCGCACCTGGAGCCCCGATCCTATTCACAATCAAGATTCCGTCTGGACCTACTGGGACATCCCCTTCCCCAACGGCGCAGATGACAGTTGACAGCCCACTTTAGCGTGATCCTAGCTGCATATCCCCTGTAGGCCCCTGTAACCCCGGACCATGCCAGCCCGCTTGTCAGCTGGCGACCCTTAAATCTTGGAATTCCCTAGGCCGTTGCTGTGCCGATAGCTCCACTCCATGGGATTGTTTGGTGACAGCAACCCGACGACGATCATCCATCTTTACACTTCTTTACACTGTTGCTTGGACTCGGTGACTCTCGGCGGTGTGATTGCGATACTCAGTTTCCATTTCTTCTATTCTTCCTGTCACCTTCATCAAATGTTTTCTTAAACACTCTTTTAAAAAGCACCAGCCTCAATCGCATTAAGTCGACACTCTTCAGCTTTTCCATCTTTACCGTCTCCGGCATAACGTTCATTATTGTTCCCCCACGCACAGATACACGATGGAGTCTCTTCTGTCTCTCGCCTTCGATAACCTTTCCTCGTATGACGGACCGAAAGTCCGTAAGGGCCTTCGCCAGGTCGAAGGCCTTCTAGCTCAGATCTGTCTCTCTAAAGCCAACCCTCGAAACGACCGTGCACATCGAAACCGGGATACCGACGATGATGGGAGTGAAGGACCAACACCTTCTCAAAAGGATCTTTCCCAACTTTCCCGAGACCCGGCATTTCGAGAGTTCTTCAAGTTGCAGGAGGGGTTCGAATGGAACGTTGCGATGCGCCTTATCAGCACTCTCGATCGACTTATGGCTAAGGGTGGTGACGGTGGAAACGACTTGTTGATTCTGAGTGCCCTTGACCTCATACAAGGAGTCCTGCTGCTGCATCCTCCCAGCAAGTCTCTCTTTTCCCGAGAACAGAATATGAACGTATGTACACAACGACTAAGCCCACAAATATACCACAAAACTAACACCATGCAGCTCCTCCTTGACCTTCTCGAGCCCTTCAACTGCCCTGCGATCCAATCTGCGACTCTCCTCACTCTCGTCACTGCCCTTATCGAGACCCCAATCAACACCCGTACCTTTGAGAGCCTTGACGGCCTTCTCACTGTCACCTCTCTGTTCAAGTCGCGATCCACCGCCCGTGAGGTCAAGCTGAAGCTCGTTGAGTTCCTCTATTTCTACCTCATGCCTGAGATTCCTTCGATTCCCCGAGCCGATCAGCGCGATAGTGTTCCCGCTATGCTTCAGCGAAGTCCTAGTAAACTTGCAGGTGCCTTTAATGCCGACTCACGTCGCAAGCGTTCCGGCTCTGATCCTGAAGGTGACATCTATCTCACCACGGAGGAGAAGCAGGAGCTGCTTAGCCAGCATCTGAGCAGCGTAGAGGATCTTGTCAAAGACCTTCAAAACTGCGCGCCTTTCGGCGGTGTTGTTTGCTAAATGCTAGTGCAAAGACTGAGGTTGTGATTTAGACTGTTTTCATATTTCCAGGTACATCTCATTCAACGGCGTTGTCAGGACTATTCGGTGGTGCCCTTGACTATACTTTACTTTTTATTTTGGCGCGGAGTTCTGAGGGATAACTTCGGCGCACGTAATCGTTTGTTTGTTGCGCCGGGACTGTTGAATATTTGGATCATCCCTTTGCACGAATGGTCTGGCTAGGCGTTTATAAGTAACAGAAACGAATAGAACGGAACGCATTTCTCCTTTGAATTATTGCTTTTGCTTCGGTGCAACATCCCCCGCTACACTCTGTGGAGGGGTGGGAACGATTGACAAGGGACGGTCTGGAGTTATGGCTGAGTCGTTACCGTACAGTTCGAACCGACCATTTATTGTTTCAGAAAGGGGTGTCTGGTATATACTCGGGCTGGACATGGGTGACAGAAGATCGCTGCCGTCTCTATTTGCAGAGTCGATCTCCACAGGCGTGGCGATATCTCCAGGAGATTGTGCATGCATGGGCACAGCAGCAATTCTTCCAGGTGAGGTGACCCGTGAGCCTGCTGCCTCCGTATATGGTCCTGCTGCTGGGTCTGGTCCAAAGTAGTCCTGGGTCAAGCCTGACCGGGCATGGCTCCCGGATATATCTGTCATGGCATCTCTAGGGGGCGCACTGCCGTCTCCCTCGCCAGATGCTGATGGTCTTGATGCAGTACGCTGGCGTCGCTTGCGCAAACACACCCAAGTCAGCCCGCCAACAATGATACTAGCTCCCACGACGACACCAACGCCAATCCCAGCCTTTGCACCGTCTGACAGACCGCCGCCGCCGCCGCCGCTGTCGTTGTCGTCGACAATCGTGACACCGCTTTCTGTTGGTGTAGCCTGAGCGCAATATCCCTCGCCACTGACCTGGGTGCACTCTTGGTCGTTGTCGCAACAGCCTGCACCATCGGAGCATTTATGCTGAGCGGTCGTGCAGCCCGAGGGAATGGGCGACAGGAGGTCCGTTCTCGAGGCTGGTCTCGTAGAGGCGCAATCGCCACCCGCCCGACACTCAGAGTTGTAGCCGCAGCAGTTTCCACCAAGGCTACTTGGGCAAAGGTAAAGACTCGTCCTGGGACACTTGCGATCGCAGCAACCCTCTTGCGCAGTGGTAGTCCCACTCCTTGTGACGGTGCGGGTACAGAAATAAGCATTCGAACTACATGGCGAATCGCTGGAGCAGTTGGAGCCTATAGGGCAGCATTTCGGGTCGCCTTTTCGGTTGACGTAGCAGTAAGAGTCGTTGTCGCAACAATCATCTGGAAATCCAATCTCTAGACCTGTGGCATTAATGAGTTTGGTGTCCGAGAGCATGATCACATCCACATGGACCTACAGTTGTGATGATCCGAACCACAGTCTTCTGCGCGTTTTGCCAAAGGAAATGCACGATCGATAAAGAAACGCGGCATCAGGTCGCCAGGAGCCGCTTGGAGTGCCTCATACTGTCGTGGGTTGTGCGCAACGGCAAGAGGGACAAAGACGAGACAACTGAGAAGCTTCATGATGAGAGCGACACAAGGGAGAGTGACGGAAGATTCAACAAAGCGCAGAATTCATCGTCGCATCTCCTGTGAAACTTATTTTATCTCACAGTTAAAATGATCAGAAGCCGGAAATCGATGAGCGCCGTTGAACAAAGAAAAAGAATATGATGGGAGCCAAGACTCAAGAGAGGTCTATGCATGTAAGACTCGATTCAGCCCGCCCTACCATATCGGATGCAAGGCTATCATTGGCCTGCTGTTCAATGTACCTCAGGTTCATTTCCAATTTCTCATTCATTTCTGGAGCTGTTAAGGAAACGGTTGACCACAACGTGTCAGAGAACCGTTACAATGGGGCTGAAGGCACAAGTGCTTACATGAAATGGCCCAACGTGGTATAAAACCCGCAACGGTCAGTCCAGGCTGGGATGTTTACTGGAGAATTAAATTTGATATGTTATATCAATGAACATCTAGACTCATTGAGAATGGGGACTCAAAACATAGAAATCTAAATTTCATGATGGCGGTCAAATGGGAGGATATTTTTTAAGCAGTATCAGCTGTGACTGCAGTTGAGTATGATGAACAAGAAGCATGTATGCATGTTATTTTGAGTCTCTCTAATCCCTGTATCTTAGCTGCATCCCAAATCTCACAAGGAGGATCTTTTGTAAACAGAACAGACTAATACAGATATACCAGCGAGTTTCTGCTGCGCAAGTCTGACAAAGAATCAAACGCCCATTGTGAACGTGCGTTCACAAGGGACAAAACCCTGCAACGACGAAAAACGCTATTATACATTGGTTCGGTCCAAAGAAGAATGACTAAGGATGCCCTGCTTAGGTAGTATACATATATTCCGCGACTAAGCCGATATGCATATGTCCATTGTTTCGGAAAAGAGCATGAGCTCACATCCTTTTCACATTTACGAATAGGCAGCTTATCAAGTACGGCCTATACCTTCACTGTACACTTACTCGTTAAGAATCTGGATTACATCTCCGGTTTCTATCTTGAGGCCGTATTACATGGACCCTGGATCGATTTCCTTAGTGATTAAGACGACTCTTCATACCACCTGAAAATAGACTACAGAAACACACTCTGTTTCTGTGGCTCGTGGCAAATACTCTGGTATTGTGAGGCCATTTCTGCTTCCTAAAATCGGTTTATTTGATACTGACAGGAGAGAAACTTTCATATATTATAGCGGCTTCCTTCTTGACGACTAAAATCATTCCACCAGATATCCAAACCCCCCTACACTATTGATCAAACCCACATCAACTTTTTTTCTTCTTCTAATTATGAATAAAAGTTCAGACAATGCTCCCATACTTACTGAGTGGGAAATGGAGATGCTGAACATTACTCGTTGAGTTGTTGGATGACAGCGAGGAGTTGGCAATAATGATAATCCGTAGCATCATCAGCTTCGTAGTCTTACGTGACGAGAATGTCTATGTACAACTACAGCTTGCCTTTGGCCTGGGCTACCCCTTTTCCGGGGTTCAAAAGTTGATCGAGTGTAGTATTCGCAGGGCTGTGGATAGTTACGTGCTATTGCTTTTTAAACGACACGGTACTGTGAGTGAAACAGGAATTAATTCTCATTTATATGACAAGCGTACCAAAAGGGGAATCCAGCATAAATTCATAGTGATCATTCTAAAACATCCAAACCCAAACATTATTAAGGCGCTTAACTCCAGAGCAGATCATGCATATCTGCATCTATGCTCTCTCTGCCAGACTAGCTGACGACCTCGGAATTGTTCTGAATCCACTGTTTGGTGTTGCACGGAACGTCCCATTGATACCTTCAGCATCATGAGATGAAGGTGAAGAAAGAGACAGAGCCTCTTGGCTGGGGTCAGGGGTTGTCATGACGGCAACAGGGCTCAAACTGATGGTGGTTGTCGTTGTGGTCAAAATGGCTGTAGTCTCTAACGCGAGAGGAGTTCCTCTAAGAGTTTCTATCAAATGATCAGTGGAGTTCTCCAATCCGGCCTGGTTATGGATGATCGTACCTGGTGTGCTTCCTTCATTGACACTCTCCTCCAAAGCAAGCTTTCCATCTTTGTTGAACGCTGCATTCGTGCCTGCGTCTTCGTCTTCCTTGAAAACATGGCCAGGGGCCTTCAATGGTGCAGTTGGTTGATTTGCATTAACAAACTCTGTGCGTACAGTAGTTGCGAGGATGGTTGAAGACCTTGTAAGGACTGATGTGAAAACGAGAGTTCTAAGGCTTAACGCTGTCGGCCCAGGGCTATAAACAGCAGATGGATTTGAGAATAGGGTTGGTGCTGCAAGCTGCTGAGAGTCTCCAGTGTTGATGTCCGGGGTGGAGGTGGCTTCTGTCTCTAGCGCTGGAGCCGCTCCCTCGGCCTTGGCAGTTGCGGGAGAGTCTTTCGTTATCTGTGTCCCGGATTCCGTTGCAGAAGCTTTGGAAGGATCTGCTTCTGGAGTAGGTACGAGGACGACAGTTATCGTGGTATCTTGTGCTTGCTCGCTCGCGGATTCGATCCTACTACCTGGTGTGCAGTTAGGTTTTCGACGTATGAGGGGTAGATCACTTACTTCGTCAACACACTCATCATCTTTGGCACCGGATGGCGTCTGAGTCTCCTTGTTTGCTGAAGTACTAGTCTGCCCGCCAAAGCTGATATTAGCCGTGACCGTCTGGACAACGTCATCGGGATTCTCAACAAATGCACCCCCAGGCGCAGTACTGGTAGCCTCAGTAACCTGCTTGGCAGATGAGATACTAGAATCTTTGGCCTTTCCTTCCTCTGTTGGTTCGACATCTTGTGCTGTCCTAAGTTGTGTTCCCGTCGAAGCCTGAACCTCACCAGTCGGTTGAGCGACAGCATTCTTGGGACGACCACCTGATTCCACGACGTCACCCTTTCCAGAAGCATTTGCAACCTCAGGCAGGGTCACGACAGCGCTGTTGCCAGACAGCCTTTCAGCTTCAGGCTCGCTAGACGGATCAGTAGATTCGCCCTTTGCTGTCTGGGTGGGATTTGCAGCAGGCTGCGCCAGCTCAGTCTTTGCTTGCCTGTCGGTATCTATCTGCGATGCATCTAGTTGAGCCGAAGCGCCCGGAGCCTGAGGCCCGACAACGGGAGCAACGCCAGGTTCAGGAACATCAGCTTTGCCAGAGGGGGCAGGCTCTTCAGACTGTTCGCCACCAGTAGACTCATTAGAAGAACCTGCAGGTAATTGATCGGACTGACCAGACTGGCCTCCTGACGAAGTGCCTGTCTCTAGAGTAGGCTGTTTGTCCGTTGCACCAGATGGCATCATGTTGTTCACCTGCTCATGGAGTTTGTTGATCTGATCCAGAAGTTCCTGAAGAGCTTCTTCGGTAACCTCAACCATGTCGCCCTGGTCTTCAACCAATCGCTTCACAAGGCCGATAGTTTGGTGAAGTTTATGACCATGGTGCGATTCCCCAGGAAGCTCCTTAAAAGGCACCACCTTGAAAGATCGAGCCACTGGTTCACTGAAGACTACGCCTGGCAGTCTGAACGAAGCTTTGAGACGAGGGAGTAGGGCCGCATGGGTGAAAGGGGTGGGTAGGAAGAGACATGGTAGGAGGCAGAGAAGAATGTATAATCGAATCATTATGTCGACTTGGTGATGAAAAAGAATTGAATAAACAATGTGTGATGTTCTCCAGTTCATTGCTGGCCGACAGGTTGCCATGATATATCTTTTGTCACGGGCTTCAGGTTGTAGGGGAGCAACACATTCCAACTATCGTGATAGCAACGCTTGCCACGGATGGTGTCTCAGTCTCGGGTGGGCATACAATGAATGGATCAACACTTGTTGTTTCACCGCGGGCCAAGGAAGCCTTTCATTCCTGTAGCGAGTAGGCAATTTAGGCAGTACTACCTACGCTTAGTTTTCTTTGTAGACACGTCGAATGAATCATAGGTATGGAGAGTCATGTAGCATAGTGATACGCTGAAGCAGGTATTCTTGATATTGTTGCCGAGTGCAGCCTGTCCGCCATGTTGATCGCTGCGGTGAATCGAGGCGATGCCCAGTGGAATCTCTCTGGTGCATCATGGATGACGGAAGTCAGAACTGGACACAGGATTTGTTTGGCGGAGTCGGGACGACACTTGGGTTTTGGTCAGGTAATTTCTCGGTCGGGATTCTTCGATTACCCAGGCTTGCCAGGCACCAAAATTAGGACTAATGGATCTCGGTTGTACCGGAGTTGGTAATAATCGCAGGTGATAATTGTAACCACGCGATGTGGCATTTGGAGGAGAAAGTTTGGGTAGAGAAACCCAAAGCTTTACAGGTAAACATTGATCGAAATTCAATGTTACCTTATTCGTGTCTGCGAGGATCGTGATGTATTTGATGATTAATTGCACAAGATAAAATTTCCAGAGACTTGACCGACCGTTGGGTATCAGACCTGAATTCGCAGGCTGGGAGAGTAAGGAAAACTCAAGACAAAAGGCTTAGGTGACTTGGTATAAATTTAGGATACCTTTTGCCTTGTTTCAAGGTCCGATGTTCTCTTGCTCACCGAGGACAGGCTAGAGAATTCCGAGCGACAGATGAAAAGCAATGCCAAGTTATTCTGCAGGTGTATTGAATCGTAGTTCCGCCACCCTGATTATTGCAGGGGCTTGCTGAGTGATAATGAGACTCTGAGAGGACCCCATTTCTTGCTTGTTTTCCACCGTCATCGCGGGCTAAGGGAGGGCTATCACGAAAATGTGACTGAATGAGGGGGGTAAAAAGGGTCAGATGGAAGTTACAGTATTCTCCGAGTTGGCTGAGGTGCATTTTGTTGGCATCGTCGATATTTTAATATATGTGAATATTGATCAGGGTCATGGTGACCATTACAGAGCATCGCAACATGAAGCCGTGAAAAATCTTGTTTATATTCGGCGATCAAATGGCTATTGACAAGGCGAGGCAAAGGAATCCGTGCCTCTTTGGCGATTAAAACACGTGGTGACCATTGCTGATGGATTGCAGGGACACTTCGGGGGTTCAAGGCGATGAAGTGACCGTGGGAGCTCGATTGAAACGAGCTTTTGGTCGCTGAGATCGCTCAGTCGCCTAGGAGGAGTGGAATAACAATAGAATTTGAGGCGCTGCTTTGAGAGACATTAGAGACATACCAGGGCCTTGATTGGCTGGAAAGAAGCGGTACCCCTGCCATGCGGCAGAAGTGGTACTAAGCCCAATCAGGCAACGGAGGAGACGGGCTGGACCTGGGCCTGAAATCCCCAAGTTTTATTCCTCTGCCACTGCCACTTGCTCTCGCTCCTGCTGCTCTGCGTGTGAAGAAACGCGGGAAATCAAACCAACCCAACCCAACCGATTTTTCCTCTCCTTGTGCGCCGCCTTCGGCCCCAGCACCAGAATCCAAAATGACAACAATACCAAGACCCCAACCTCACAGAACAAGGCTTTTGCCCTCTGTTCCATTACTTTCATTTCCACTTTTCACCACCGCAAACCCATCATCACCACCCTGAAATCAATCCTGACCCGGCACCAGCCAGGCTGAATGACAAACCGACCTGACCTGTCTGTGATCGCAACTCAGCTCCTCCTAATAAATCTCCCACTACTACTAAGACTCGCTCCACGCAAGCCCCAAAAGCCCACCACCCCTGACCACGTCTTGTCCACCACGGGATCACCACCGGGTCTTTGGTTATTTGCCGCCTCTCCCGTCACCAGTCCATTCTCAAATCCTGCTCCTTTCCCTAACCTTCTTCCACTATCCTTCGCCGCTTGCAAACATCATCAATCAGCACCACACATCACCTTTTCCGTTAGACAACCCTTCCTAGACTATAGCATCACCAGCTCTTTGTAACATCGAACTCTCTCAACACCATGGCTCCTCCAGTCAAGTCCGCCGACGCGCGACGCAAATCCAGCACCAAGGTCAGCTTGATTGTTACTCGCAAGGTGTCGCCCGACAAGCTGCGTGCTCTGCTCGCGCCCGACTCTATCAAGGAAGAATCTCCCTCCAAGGATATGAAAGCCAACGCCGACTCACCTACCGATGCTGTGTCCGCTTCTGGCTCGCAACCACCAGCCAGCAATACGAATGGCGACAATGCTTCGGACTCCAACGCCGCTACTCCTGCTCCTGACGCAACTCCCGCCGACGGGACACCGGCCCCTTCGGCTATGGGACCGCCTACTGATGGGCTGAAGAAGAAGGGCGTCAAGCGATCTGCTGCTGGCGCCAACGGTACAATAGATGGTATCCCCAAGCCTCGAGGAAAGCCTGGCCCCAAGAAGAAGCCCCGCCTGTAAGTTTCTGCAACCTCCATACATATTTGAACATTGGACTGACCACTACTCCCAGGGAGGACGGAACGATCGATCATTCAGGTTCTAAGCCTGCCGGAGGTCACAAGCTTGGGCCCAAAGCGAATCAAGGAGCTATCAACGCCGGACTTCGCGCTCTCGATCGCTCAGGCAAACCCTGTCGCCGATGGGCCAAGGGAGGATTCCAACTCAAGAGCTTTACCGGTGTGGCATGGGAGATCCCTCGCTGGGTGGCACCTCAAAAGAAGGCCCCCGAATCCAGCGCTGAGGATTCTACTGCTGCATCGGCCGAGGGCAGTAGCAAGGAGAACAAAGAGAACGGCCACGAGAGCAACAGTGCTAGCAATAGCAATACTGCTAACGACGTGGAGATGCAAAGTGCGCCCAGTAATCACGCCTCCTCACCAGCACCTCTTGCTATCGCCGCTGCTTCATAAACACTCGCCCTACGATGCTACCTATTTTTCTTTTCATTTTGCTTCGATACCAGACAATGTTTTAGCGCAAGATACTACGGGCGTTCTAGGTTGGCAGGCAACTCACCCTTGGCCTGCCAGTGAGGCTGAGATGCTCTCATACCGAGCATGACCGTTCATTCATTCGGAATATTTTTATGTTTTTCAAGAAAGCGACGCTGGTGTCGCCGGGCGTTAAGGAACAGCGAAGATGGAACGCTGTGGAAAAGGATTGGCATTAAACCGTACCAGGGCTGGCGGAGCATATATTGATGTACAATTACTGTTATGATGGGGCAATGTTAGATATACTCTGTTAATTCTCTGAAATGAGCAGTCAAATATTTATTCTTGAAGGATATATCGTATTGATGTTATCTATCATTCTGCCATCCATGCGCCCGTAGCTTGGACGACGGGCGCTAATCCGCTGTTTGCTGCGAACATTGTTTTGTCGCAGCCTACCTAGGTACTAAGGCAGGTAGTGTCGATAATTCCAGTCATTAATGGCTCACCCCTTGAGATCACGCGCCACGTAAGTCTGAAAGAAACTGTCGCAGATGCCATCTCGCGATAACTCCAAGTAGACGTGGCAGAAAGCTCTTCATGTCAAAACTGATTCCCTAAGCGTTCTTATCAGGTAAGATGAATGATCGCAATGTCAGAGCCAAAGTCACATGTCTTCACTTTATCGCCTGTTTCGACGAGGAATGACCTCTAACCTGAGGTAATTCTCAAATCCAGCGGTCGGGGAAGAGTTTTCGGGGGTTGAGATGGCCCAATGGCCAGACTGTGGATACACTTTGGTTCGTCTTTCTCATCGGGGTCATGTCTTGATGTTGTGGTGTGGTCGCAGGGAGCTCGCAAAGCTTAGTCATCGACACGAGAGCCGTCCCGTGACTTTCATACCCGCCGTTTACAGTAGGGGATGGAAGTTTAACTGTATCGCCCTGAATCTTGATTGATATTTGGTTTATTGTGCTTTGAATGGTTTGCTTTTAATCGGGGGGTCTTGCTTTTAGGGATGAATGATGCCTGGAGGGGCTTGAGTGAACAGGTTTGAAACCGAAACCCAAACCAACCTGGAATATCCATATCGAGATGGAGATGCTCATTGGAGGTACCAGAATAAGTCAGCAAATAACCTCGCCAACTTATAAGCGAGGAAACCTCATCTGGTTTCTGCACCAGGGCAGTGTTGGTCTGGCTATTGTTACTGTCATCACTCGAATGTTTCTTTTCAGACCACGAGAAGGACCCGAAAGAAACAGGCTCAGGGCCATGTGCTATCGTCTATTATTACGCCTCAGCTTTTGGCCATTTTGGGGCGATTCCATTAGCATGGGGACCTGGAGCAATGCAGCCCGCGCAGATTAGTAGCAAGGGTCCGGCACGGCAGCGGGGAAGCTGGGCCTCCACTGTTAAGCTGATGCAGCTGTTTGCTAGGTGAAAGCTTAACAGACAAGGTCAAGTCAGGTCAGGCCAGGCAGGAGGTGTTAAAGACTAAACCCGCTGGGGCAGAAGAGTGCCTCGTGAGTCGTGATAGATAGCGCAAGCTGGTAGCCATGATGAGTGATGTGATACGTACAGTATCAGTATCGGCTTTTCTCGTCAGGCCAGACTCGATTCATGTTGCCTACTAAACCAACGATGGTTAATTGACGAGTCATTCTTACTTCAGATACATCCGCATCTTTAATTTTCTTCCTCTTCTTTGAACCTGCGTCTCTATAGCTACTGGAAGTTAGCGAGTGGTAACGGTGACGCGCTGTTGTTCTGACGGGAACCACCTCCACCTCTACCCGCCCCGTCCATCACCATCACCATCGCCATCCCCTCGTC